CCCTCTACATAATGGTTCACATAATGGTGACGTGGCAATCATCCACTTATTGATGTGTAAGTGTGAAAGTTGAATTAAAGGCAGGATCACATGCCACGTGTAATTATGTGAACCATTATGTGAATGGTTATGTACCTGTAGCATTACCCCTTTTAGTAATAAGTCAACTATGTTTTTCATTTGTAATATACTAAATATATTTATTATTATATAAAATTGTATGTAAGTAAGTAAATCTTAATACACATTACATTGCAAAAATATAAGTTGAATGTTAGAAGGTTGAAGAGACATTGCTTGGAGACTGCCATTGTCATGGCTCTTGATAAAAAACAAAAAAAAACAAAAAAATTGGTTAGCTAATGGTACCATGATACGATGTACCAAAAACCACCTTTATTTTTATTAAACAAAAGCTCAATGCTCACATTTATTTTTATTAAATCGGTACCATGATACGATGTACCAAAAATAACCTTAGAGTGATTTTATTTCCTCTTACGAAGTAATTAAATGTAGAAATTTTACTTTTTGTTATGTTATGTTGCACATTACTCTTGTTCGCAAAACACACTTTTTTTTTTTAATAAATAAATTGCATTTTCTTTCATCTTTACTAGTTCCATTTAAAGTGCTTTAATTTTCACTAATAATTTTGTAAACAAACTTGAGAAATTAAACTTCATTTACTCGTTCGGTCGTTCCTCCCCCCATGTTTCTTTGACTTGGATCCTATTTCAAAACCGATCCTAACACGGATAGGTTTAAATGCATATATAAGACTTTTGGGGAAGGAGTGGTTGGCAGTTGTCAATTGATATGTTGGAAACTTGGGTCGTTTACTTCCCCATTTTGAAATAACGAGTCAAGTTTACTCCCCCAATCTTGGGGAAAATGAAATTCTAGTATTTTCGAAAAAAGAATTTTCTACGTTGAATATAGGGTCCATTTATCAGAACTTTTGAAAAGTTAAAAATTGTTTACGAGATTAAGAAGTTTATATTTAACATATTTGAATAATTTTTTTTGAATGTTTGATCTGGCTAAAAACAAATTTTTAGATAAAGTTGATCTAATATAGCAGTTCTTCTACAAGAAATAAAAATAAAAGTAGAAGTTCGATCAAATGGGGGTCATAACATCCACATCATGCACCTTCTTCATTGACTAACACAATCACAACTTTCGAAGTATGTGTTCTACTTTTTCCGAGAAGATGGGATTAGGAGAAAATTTTAATTTTGAGTATCCATAAACAATCAGGCTTCCGATTGTAATTAGTCACGTATTGGAGAAGATTAAAGAAAGCGGGGTGAAGATCGACCCGTTTGCATAATTTTGAAGAAAGATTGTTGACATTAGGTGGAGATATTTTCTTTGTCCCTTTCAAAGAAATTAAAATTTTATTTATTTATTGTTACAGTCCTTCGTATGATTTCTCAATAATTAGTTATTTAAATTTTAATGATTTCAAGTATCCCATTGAATAAACAAGTTGTTAATCAGGTCCAATGGCATCACGTTGGAAGAGCAACCACCACCCATGCAACCTAGAAATTATTAAAATTGTCCTTGAAAACATAACCTGCGATTTACCTCCTTCACCAAGGCTCAGGGCAGGTGGGGGCCGCTAAGGATGCGGTTCATCATTTAGAAATTATTAAAATTGCCCTCTAGAGCATAACTCAGTGGTATAAAGGATAGGAGTTAGGTATTTTCGGCTGAGCTGACAGTCGCAGTGTGAGAGTTCGATTCTCATCTCTTATAAGGTATGAAATTGGATTCTTTGTGGGTATCGGTATGACAGCTCGTACCCTAACCTGTTGAGGCACGTCCCATGATTTACCTTTTTCACAATGCTCTAGATGAGGGACGGGACGATGGGGGACCCTCAAGGTTGAAGTTCAACCTTTTTTTTTATAGAAATTATCAAAATTAATATGGTTTTTAAAAAAAATACGTGAAATATCGAGCTATTATAAGAGGTTGATTACAATTGGAGTACCAGAATTTTCAAGCAATTTCCATGATTAAAAAAAAAAAAAAAATTTCCCTATTCTTAGTAATTTAAAACTCAAACAAACTATATCTATTTTTTTCATTTACATTTTTTGTCACAATATTTTACAAACTTAAATTTCATGTGGTTTTTTGACGTGCTAGATCAGCTTCTTCTAAAAAAAAATTATAATCAGACAAATCATTTTCAAAAAATTATACAAATATAATTAGAGCAATTTTTTAACAATAGAAACAATTTTTAACTCTTTAAAAGTAGCTTTAATTAAGCCATATAACCTTTTATCAAAATAAAGTGATTTTGTAGATATTGAAATCAAATTGAGATTTTATGCCCCTCGAGTCAGCGCCCACGATTTGTAGCTTTTTGTTTTTTATTAGCTCAAAGGAAAATTTGTTCCCCCCTTGAATTAAAGTTTGACAAAGTCGTGAATGACAATAATTAAAATATTAATTGGATAATATATTGCTTATAAAAAAAGGGATAATATTCAATTAATTTTAAAAAAAAAATCGTCTTTCAAGAAAAATCGAATCCAATGTACAAAAGTTTTAGTGAATATTGATAAAAAAAAAATGACCAACAAAAGTTGTAAATTTCATAAAATATATGATTAAAATTAAATTTGACTAGTTGAAAAATTGATAAGCAAACAATATATTGCAAAATAAAAAAGGCGAAAATTTTAATTACTCATTGCCCGTTGAAGGGTTAATTTCATTTTTGGTAACTGAACTCTCAATTAGGACACCAACTTTAATTTTTCATAACTAAATCGTTAAATTTTAATTTGCTTTTTAATCTTTGTCACGTTGTTAGCCTCACTATATGTTGTGAATGTAAAAACATTGTAATTGAGGATAGAAAGAGCTCTCAGTACGTTACGTCGGATGATTTATATCAATTTCAAACATAATTTGTTCTCGTATATTTTTAATCATGACATGATTATGTGACCTTTTTTAGCGTTCTTATAAGATTGAGACATTAAGTTTAGTAATATTGGCTGACATAATGATTAACAATAAAAGTAAATTAAAGTTTAATGATTGGAAAACTCAATTGAAGTTTAACTGAAAGTTTAGTGACCAAAATTGAAATTAATCTCGAATTAGACCGGGTTTGATTGACTATGGAACACTACACAAAAAGTAGGAATAGTTGACGGACCAACCAGCGATTAGTGGTTACTAGCACCTTCGTTGATGACGTTTCTTGTGTTACACGAGTTCAAAGAATAATGTTATTTATCAAAATTAAAGATTAATTCTACAAGAAATAACATTATTTATATCTATTAGAGTGATCGCCTTTGATTCTGCTAAAAATAAGTTTATTAGTAGATTTTGATAAAAGTTGATTAAATGCGCAGTTAAAAATTGATAAAAATTTCAAGTCCTATGAAATGTGTATGTAAAATAAACCGTTGACTTTGACTTATATTTGTATCAATTTTTTTAGCTAAACCAAACGGAGAATTGCGTGGATACGAGACTTTTTTTTGTCTTATAATTTATCATTACATTATATGATGATCATCTCTAATAAAAATAAATAACATTTCTTGTACGTTCAATTAAATAAAAATATTGAAGGTCCGTTTAATAAGACATAACATGTGCTAACACCTAAATTGGTATTAAATATAATTAGTGTTAGATATCATTATTCAAAGGGACGACATCAAACTAAATTTTATGAGTTTCAAAACTTGGATTCATTGATGAATCTATTGACAAACGTGAAGGTTCTGATATTAAGGCCCCGTTCGGGAGGGATTAAAAGTCAATTAAAATTGAAAATATGGCCGTTATTGGACCACACTCGTCTAATAAAAGTCAACAATAACGGCTATATTTTCAATTTTAATCTGATTTTAATCACTCCCATACAAGCCCTAAAAATTTTAAAAAATCCCAAGGTCTAAGAATTTATTTCACAATATTAAAAATAATCAACCCTCGTTCTATGTCTTCTAACTAAATACATATTTAAAGAAACAAATAAAACTCCTAATAAACATATAAATTAAAATATTTTGTGCCAAAATAAAAAGAACTCGTCGTGACAGCCAAAAGTACATTGGCAGAAGGGCGTTTCTGCATTAAAACAAAGAATTGAATTCTATTAATTGCATTGTCGGCAAGAAATAACATAAATTAAGTGAGTCCTTCAAGTTGTTTCTATCGTCAATTGAATGATTTTAGTTCTGTGATAGTGATTTTAGAGTTGAATAGTCAACATTGACTTTTTGCAAGTGTTGAAGTCTACCAAAATCCTAGTTTAACCACCAAAAATTTAAAACCAAACAA